ATTGAGTTTATATTGGAGTGGCCGGATTGCTTTTGTCTTCAGGAGTTCCCAGAGAGGCCCAATTCGGTGAGGCTCACATGTTTTCAGGCTTTCTCCTAAGGTCTGGATCCCTCCAGGAATGATTTTGGCCTCAGGAATTTGGGGGTTGGACTGGCCTGGAAGCCTGGCCAAGGAAAGATGCTGGTCTACGGCAGCTGGTGGCCATGCCACCGAGAGATGCAAAGGCAGGTGGGGGTGGGAAGGGACCCCAAGGACACCTGGGGACTGCACTGATGAGCTGGGTTGGTCTGGTTGCAAAGGATCAGGAAGAGGAAAGGTCAGCCCCAGCATCCCAGAAAGAGGCTGCCAGGTGGTACAGGCCCAGGGAAGCAGAGGGAGGTGAGAGCGGGCCAGGCCCAGAAGCAGTGCTCCTGGGGCCCAGAGAAGGCACTGTGTTGGTCTGGATGAAAAGGACCAGGAAGCAGTAATGGTTCCCCAGGTATCTGGGGCCCCTATACAAGGAATGGGGCAGGGCCCAAACTCGAAGAGAGAAGGGTGGAGATGGGAAGGTGAATGAGGCTGGGGGAGTCAAGGCAATGAGAGTGCAATGGATGTACCCCGGAGAGAAGCCTGTGGCAGGTCCTGCAGGCCCAGGGAAGCAGAGAGACGTGAGCTGAATGAGTTTTTAACATTCATAAAAGATCTCCATTTCATTATAAAATATACCGTTTCGTACAGACTCATTTTTTTGCTAGTAACGAGATGTTGGCGAATGCATCTCTAATCTGTATGTATCTGATTATTACTAGTCATAATCGGTTGCACTCAGATCCTTGGCACCTGTGTATGTCTATAAAGTCATCGGGTAGATTTCAATGGTAATATTTATCACCTCTAGTAATTAACATGGTTTTTAAAAAAGTTTTTAAAATATTTTATTATTTTTATGTGCATGAGTATATTGCCTGCATGTATGTGAGTGCACCCATGGCATGCAATGCTGCAGAGGTCAGAAGAGGGCTTCAGAATCCCCTGGAACTGGAGTTAAGGATGTTCATAGCTGCCATGTAGGTGCTGGGAATCAAACCCGTGTTCTCTGCAAGAGCAGCCAGTGCTCTTAACCACTGAGCCATCTCTTCAGCCCCAAGGACTGGTTTCTTAAGACACACTACATTTGTTACTTTTCTGTTGCTGGGATAAAAAACATGAGGCAAAACAAAAGGCAATTTTTGGAAGATAGGTTATTTTGTCTTACTGTTCCAGAGGAATGGCAGGAAGGCATGGCAGCAGGAGCTGGAAACTGAGCTCACATGTTCAACTACAAAGAAGAGAAGAGAGAGGGAGAGAGGGAGAGAGAATGAGAATGAGTGTGGAGCCTGTTCCTGGTGACATACTTCCTCCAGCAAGGCTGCAACTCCTAAGGATTCCATGACCTTTCAAACAGTGCCACCAACTGGGGACGAAGTTTTCAAATACTTAAGACTCTAAGGGACATTTTTCATTCAAATCACCACACACTAAAAGAAAAAATATTGTAATTCACTAAAAACTGCTTCAGGCTGGTTGTGGTGGATCATGTCTATAATCTCAGCACTTGGGAAGCTGAGGAAGTCAGATAGCTAAAAATTCAAGGCTACATACTGAGTTCCAGGCCAGCATGGACTAAGAACTCATCTCAAAAATACAAAAACAAAGGCAACAAATAAAGCTGTGCTTCAAAGAACATCATGAAGATATTAAAAAAGACAAACCACAAATTGAGAAAAAAAAATCACCAATTCTCTTTAAAGAAAAAGACAACCTAACAGAAAACCAGGCAGAAGACCGAAATAAACATTTTTGCAAAGACAGCATACAGATGGCAAATAAACATAAAATCATGTTCAGACTGTCAGCCATTATAGAAATACAATCAAAATCCCAATTAGATGCCAATTTGTGGAATGGCTATGAGCAGATGATGGTGATGATGTGGATACTGGAACCCAGATACCCCGGTGAGAATATGAAATGCTGGTAAAACCACTGTGGAAAATGGTTAAGTTTGAAGTTCTCTCACAACCCTGTAATTTCATTCTAATATAGTGAGAAGAAATGAAACTTACGCCCAGCTTGTTCAGAAATAAAGCCCTAAAGCCCAAAGCTCATCATTTGGTGAATGAATAAATAAAACATGGTGTCTGTGTACTATGAGAGGCTACTTAGCAGCAGTGAAGTGCAGGCAGATGCTATGTGTGAATAAACCCTGAAAACATGGTAAGTAGAAGTCCCCAAAGCCCACATTACACAATTCCACTTATCGAACAGGTGCAGAAGATACACCCATACAGACCAATACATTACTGGTGATTAGGGGTGGAACAGAAAGAAGAAAAAAAAGACTGCTAATGATGAGTTTCTTGGGATGATGAAAATGTTCTGGAATTAGTGGTGATAGCTGCCTGCTATGTGAATACACTAAGAACCACTGAATAGTACAATCAAAGGTTCAGTTCTGTGGCACGTCAATTTCTCTAAATAAAGCTATTACTAAGCAAATGACATTTTTATACAAACACATTTTACAGTTTTTTAAGTCAGAATTACTTTTAATAAAAGTTGTAGCACTGGAAGACAGGAGGTGTGGCTCAGTTGTAGAGCACTGGCTTAGCAGTGTTCAACGCTATATACACACTAAATTCAGGAGGCATACAGCAGCAGTGTGCATTCCTCACTTCCCAGGGGAAAGAAAGCAGTACACACAGCAGACCTCAGTAATGTCCCAGGGAATTCTCACAATTTTAGAACTTTTAAAAAGTAAACAACACAATCCAATCCCTTGATAGCTTTGGCCCAGTGAACTATGGACACAGAAAAAGCTATGATGAGTCTTCGTGGTTCATTAATGCCAAAGTTCAGACTGGAAATTTGGATTCCTACTGGCTATCTATTGTGTTAATCAAAACAAAATTACTGTAATTTAAATTTTTTCAACCACTTCATGTTTTTTGCATTTGCTGTCTATAATGAACATCTGTTTCTCTTTGCTCCAAATCCCAGTTTCATTAAGGATGAGGCCCATCTCTTATCCAGTGTGATTTTGACGGGAGTTTACACAGCACATAAGACCCAGATGCAGCCAAGATTATAAGGATCTGATGGAAGAGCAAATGATCCAGTGAAGACTAGAGTCCTTCTGTAGCATTTGATTTATGCACCCTGGGAGGGTAAGCTTACATTCATTGTGGGCCACATGTCTTAAGGATGTGGACTATGGCTGGTACTGGCCCATTGTGTAGAAAGGGCTAGCCTGAAAATGAAACTGAGAAACAAAAGTAACTAAGAGATGGAAGAGCCCTGGCAAGAGTCTCCACACCACTGATTGTTGTCAGTCACATTGGTGGCCTCCTGGATGTGCACACTGTGTAATCTGATTGAAGAGTCGTACTTGAAAATAATCTCCATTCCTTGTGCTTTTGGACAATTCCCCAAACACATTAATTTTTCAGCCCAGAGTTCAATAAACCTATCTTTTAAACATGATTTCAAACAACAGAATCATTTTAAAACAGAATTTTCTCCAGTGTTTTCTGGAAGAAAACCTGGTCCTGCCAAACAGATGCAGCAACACTGTGCCCTAGTTTGGCTTTTCTGTGTTAAGGACCAGAGGAAATCCTGTGTGTTGTTTTTCATCTTGCTTTCAACATAACGGTTTCAATATCCCTTTCTTCCTCTGAACCTTGATCTGGTATCCAACTGAAAATAAACATACATACAATTTAATGACATTTAGTATAATATGTAATTTAGTCAAATAAAACTTTGGTAAGGGATGTCAGTGATTATATGAGAGAAACAAACTCCTTCCCAGCAAAATCAAAGGCCTCATGCTAGGCAAGCACTCTACTACTGAGCTACAGCCCAGCCCTCTTTTACATTTTATTTTGAAAAAGGGTCTCACAAAGTTCACTAAACCTTGAACTTGCTCTGTAGCCCAAGCAGGCCTTAAACTTATGATCCTCCTGCCTCAGTCTCTTGAGTAGCTGCTATCAGTCCTGTACCACTAGGCCTGGGTGAAAGCCCTATTTTCAAAAACTGGAAATTTTTAAACATGGGAATCCTATCAGGATGGTATGCTGCGTATACTGTGAGGGAACAGCAGGTTCAAACGCCCCATCTCATCTCCTATGGAACTTACATGCTCTAAGCAAAATTACCCACATGATTTAAATTTATGTGCCTGGATTTTGCCAAGCCTGTACAGCTAAAGTTCCAACAGTTAAGTATGACATGACTCACTCATAGTGGAAGATTAATAGTCTTGGAGGAACAGTGTGAGAATCTTTCCTTCACCTGCTGCAAAGGTCCCCAGAATGCTCTTCCCATGTCAATGGCACAAGTGAAATTCTGCCTCTTATTGATATCAATCAAAGCATTTGCATTTTTTATTAAAAATTACCAAAATTACTCAGGAAGAAAAAAAGGTTTGTTTTAAGGAAAAAAGTCTTTAGGGCAAGAAATTTCAAGGAGTTGTCATTTGATAGGATTACACAGAACTCATTAACTTCCACACTAACTGTTCGTTATGCCTTCTTCACGATCTGAACATACTTTGAAATTCCTGACAAACCTAAAGCCTTGGACTTTATATAGCTGACAGCATTACCTGAGGAAAGGCAAGAAAATCCTTCTCTACTGTAAATGACAGGAAAAATGGCAGAGAACTGTCAATGGAGAAAAGAAACTGCACAGCTAAATTCAACCTCACTTTACACTCTCCGAGGTTTGGTCCCTGAATCATACACCTGTGCCCTCTTTTCTTTCAGGAACAAAAGGGAGAGTTTGAGCTGTAGCTCCTAAGCTTCAGAAAGCAGGCTCAGATCCAAGTAAGAGCTATCTTTAAAGGAAAGCTCTGTGATTTTACACATTTCTTTTTCCATGAAAGGGCTCCATTTCCATTCCAAAGATCTCTGTAGAACTTTCCAGTTAAGGAATGTTAGCACAGAACCCCAGGGATTAGTGATGTCACTGGGGCCCTCCTTCCATCATTCATCTCTCCAAAAGGCAGCTGGCATTTCCTCCTGGTCACACAAGGCAGATATGATGGCTACTCCTGGTTGTCAACCTGACACACCTGGGAAAAAGGAACCTCGATTGAGGAATTTTCTTTATCAGATTGGCCTGTAGGCATGTCTGCAAGGCATTTTCTTAATTGCTAATTGATGTAGAATGGTCCAACCCACTGTGGGCAGTGCCATCCCTAGGCAGGTGGGCCTGGGCTGTATAAGACAGGTAGCTGAACAAGCCAGAGCAAGCAAGCAGCTTTCCTTCAAGCTCCTGCCTTGAGTTCCTGCCTTGGCTTCCCTCAACCATGGACTGTAACTTGTAAGCTGAAATAAACCCTTTTCTTCAAGTTGCTTTTGGTCACAGTGCTTATCACAGCAACAGAAAGCAAACTAGAACAGCAGATGTGTACATCTTAGACCTCAGCATTACAGGTTTGCGTATAACTGCCGAATGCCCTGAATCCACTATCAACTCCTCCAATTTGCTGAGACTTCATTCTTACACTTCTCAGAAAACTGTGAAGGTCAGCAACTCTGGAGATCAGAAATATAGGGGCTTTTGTGAATGTTGCCTGATGTTTAACTTACTGGAGTACAGAACACTATATCCTTTTTTCCAAACCATATGACTACAACCCATTTAGGACTATTAAATTAATTCCATTTAACTAACATAAGCTTTTCAAAACATTCAGTTACTTACCATTGATCTTTTACACTCAAAAAATGAATACTGCAAGGCTCTGCAGTAGCCTTCCTTCAAACACTGCCTTGGGGATTTTCCTTCCTGTGACACACAAAGTAATTCAAATAAATACCTGAGAAACTTTCATAAAGCGTACAAGACAACTGCCCTTCTGAAAGTAGTTTGTAAACGTTAAACAAAAGAAAGCCTATGTAACAAAGTTCTTAATTCCTTTTGATTGTTGATAGTTAAAAAGAAAAAAATGAGATGGCTCAGAGGTTAAGAGCACTGACTGCTCTTGCAGAGGACCCGGGTTCGATTCCCAGCACCCACATGGCGGCTACGGACCGTCCTTAACTCCGGTTCCAGGGGAATCTGAAACCCTCTTCTGACCTCCGCAGCATTGCACAACACGGGTGTGTGGTTCACATACATGCAGGCAATACACTCATACACATAAAAAAAAAAAAAAAGAAAGAAAA